AGGGTTTAACCTACGCCCCCAAGGTATTGACTCGGGTCTTGCCCTTTTAATCTCATGCTCACGCCATCTCTACTAGCATCAAAGAGTCCCAAAGGGGGGCTAGTCCCCCAGTATGATCCTTCAATTCGCACTTTTTGCAACGATTAAACTTTAGTATCCCTGGTTCAGACGCGGCGACCCTCTCGTCATACCTTCTCCTGTTCGCTGATCCACTTCGTGAGATCCGTTGAGCTGATCAGGCTTGCTGATCCGATGCGTGTGATCCGATTCGACCCTGCCCTGATCCGATACGTCGGGCGCCCTTGATCCAGCTCGCACCACGTACTGATCCGTTACGTTTGAGCTGATTCGTGGGTCTACCTCGCAGCAGAAGCAGCGGTGTGAAAAGCCTCAACGACTTTGAAGCCATACGCAAGAAACCCAAAACGGAACTACGTAAGGAGCCTCCGGGCACTGGGTAGATCCCAGACGCAGGCGATAGAGCAAGCTGCGGCCTCGAGTAGCGGCATGAACGTCGGCGCCTCCACAGGAAGAGGCCAGGGTTGCAGTTTGGGAGTTAAGTCTGTTTGGGGCTATGGGCTATGGGTTTCTGATGAGCTGCTCAGTGAGTGAGCTTGCACACAGCATCGTCGTTTTCCATCCTTATGTCTGCGTTGTCTGTGACATGAAAGTATCGAGACCAGGCAGGTGACTGTGACTCTGCGCGTGATCTCGTTAGACACGGCTTTAGCCGTAAATGTACGTTGCTGCATGCGGTATGCGCAATGCAGGCGACCTGCTTGCTGAGCCAGGGAGCTTGTAAGGAAGGGTGAAGGGTTCGCGGGTTCATTGGCGGCTAGTTGCCCATATTGGAGTGGCTTGCTCTGTGGCCTTTGTTTCAGCCCTGAAGCCCGAAGGTTTGAACACTTTTGAAACACAGAGACAATCCCAGACCCACCCTGCCTTGAACAGAACATCACTGCAAATCTTGGCATGCCCATAAGACGTCTAGAGCCCCCCCACACTGAAACCCGACACCTGAGACATCCTTGCTAGGTGCAGCGGGGATGCTTGCAAGATTCATGGGCGTCCCGAGCGGCAGCGCAGAAGCGTCCTTTGGGCATTCGAAGAAGCAACAGAAATCGGATGCTTGGGTCCGCAGTTAGGGTTCAGAGTTTGAGGACAGGAGACCTTGTGCTTTGTGCTGCTTCGAGGGCGCGTGAAGCAAGAGCCCAGCATTGTTAGCACAGACCTGTTCAAGGGTTCCCACATGATTGCATTGCCGTAGGGCCAAAGTATATGCTATATGGGAGTAGTGGGTAGTGCATAGTTCGCCTCAGCCCTCATTCCATCTAATAGCAGTACTGGCTAAAAAGCGTGGCGCTGTGCCACGGGATGCCTTCAAATCTCTCTCTCAAGCAGGACAAAGCTGTTCGAGTTTGAAGGGTTGAAGCCGGGCTGCCTCCAATTTGGATGTTTTATAGAGAGTTATATAGGGATATATAGGGTATGTTTGCATGGGTCATGATGCAGTTTGGGAGTTGGATCTCCTGGAGAGCTATGATTTAATATATGCATGGGGTTAGCCCGTGGCAAAGTTCCAGGCCGAGTCTGGGTTGCCAGGCAAACACATAGGATTCTTGTTGAAAAAGGGAACTGCAGCCAGCAGTTGCTCTCAAGGATGTCCTTGAGGTTGTCAGAGAATTCTGGTGTCATTCCTACCTGGCATAGTCCGGCATTGTTCTTCTGAAGCTCCACGTATATGATGCTCCGACAGTACGTAGCCTGTGGCTTGAGGATAACGTCGGCCGGAGACGTTATCCGTTGATTGCACCCTTAGAAACCGGGTCTCACCCCTACCGGCGATTCCTAGGACCTAGGACCTCAAAGCGCACCCCTACCTCCAGAAATCCCTGTAGCTTTCCGATCCCCATGCAACAGCCAGAAATTGAAATCTCTGCATACACTACAGCTGGACAATCAGAACATTGGCCCCAATTTTTGCTCCGATAATCGGGTCATTGGATGCACATTATAAGTTTTCAAAGCACTCAAGATTCCGTCTTGGTCTTCAAAGGAGTTGAGACGCCTGCCTGCTGCTGCTGCTGCTGCTTCTGCTGCTATGAGGATCCCCCCAACAATGCTCAATACTCCCTCAGCCCTGAAGACCGAATCTTGCGGATCATCGTTGGGAAGCAATGTGCCAGCTGGGTAACCAAACAAGCCCTGGAGGATAAGACACTGGCCCAGATAATGCGCCAATTCCCTTGCACAAAATCCTTCGGCAGAGACCCGCCCAGGAGGACAGTGCCAGTGCACGCACCAACAGGGAAGAAGAAAGTGCGCAGAAGTCAGTGATGGATGTCACGCAGGCGCATTTCCGAAAAGGGCTTCAAGTTGCACAAGGGCACGTTATTCAGAATGGCAAGAAACACGGAAAGATCAATCATAGTCATCATGATCAATTTTCGAGGTGTCTGTTACTAGCGTAGACATGCCCATTAAAACGCAACCCTCATTCCCAGAACTCAAATCCCGATACCCTTGCCCCAAAACCCGTTTGCCAAACAATCAACATCAACCCCTGTTCTCCGAAAGCAGGAGCCAAGACCATATTCTCAAACCTTGAACAGGAGTGGAAGGGTGGCATCAGCGGTGCTTCTGCCTCAGAATGGCGGCAAAGCCTCTACGACACTTGGCATTTCTGCTTACCAGCACTTCCATCAGCTAAACTGGTGGGATTTTGGGTTGATGGCGGAAAGCTTGGCTGTTAGGAAGTTTTTGGCGTGATATTCAGATAATATATGGTTGTATGTAGGGTTATACAGGGATGATATAGGTTTAGTTGGGTATGTCACATACCATGGTTCGAATTCAAGATGCACACACGACATCATGCATGTAGACCCTTCAAGCTGACAGAGGCAGACTTTTCATGGTGAAGCTGGATTTCCATGTTGACTGGCCAATTGGTAAAGCCTATCCCTGGGGCTCCATGTCTATAAACAGTACCTACATTGGGCCCCAAACTCCATTAATATGACCTACATTGGGCTATTTGGAGCCTTAGGGACAAGAAAACTGACTCTGCCCGTTGACATAGACGCCCCAAGAGGCTAATAGTTTCCCCTGTAGGCTTGCACCTGCCAGTTAGGTAGCATGTCCATATCCGTTGCAACTGCTGCAGGAAGTGTGTAACTTCACAGCCCGGCACGATGGGTGATGATAACACGGAAGAACCTGTTTTCACCTGAAAATATTCAAAACGGAAGCTCTCAAGTTAAGTTACCATAATGGGTGTAATTATATAGTAATTGAAATGGCTTCCCTAGTATAGTAACTTAAGTTAAGTTCCTTAACTGTTCTTGAGCAGAAGGTGGAAAGCCTGAGCTTCTCTAGTCCAGTTCAGCTCGAGATTTCAACTTCGCTTCCCCCATGGACAAGAAGAGTGCACGTATCTTTCCTCAGAGTCAAGGTAGTTTGTAAGAATAGACTTTTGCAAAAAGTCAAGTTGATCGGATATGTGCGTCCGGGCACAAAACGCAACCGCCCCTGAAATATGTCGCTGGCTTTGCTGCTCATGAGAATTCCATGCTGACTGGTACATCAAGCTTTAAATCGCGGATGCAATCAGCGTTCCGCATCCCTTTTCCAGCAATTCAATTTATACGACCGTCCCACGCCAAAACAGGACAGCCAGAATTGGAAGCTGATTGACCGACATGCGCCTTCATCCCCAGAAGCATGTGGAGCTTTCAAGAGCGGAGTCCTTCTGGGAGTCCTTGTTATTGTTGGGTCGCTGGCTTCAGTTGAAGGGCTTGGCACCTGTCCCATGCGTGAGCATGCAGGGTTTTAGCATTTTGGTGTTTATAGGGCTCCTAAACAGCGTGGGCAAATCATTAGAAAACATCGTGCTTGGCGTGAAGACTTTACGTATGGAGCTTGTTAGTGGGATTCCGTCCCATCCAATCAGACCCAGACCGCCTACTGCAAATAATGCACAAAAAGACCATCCCCCCCCCCACCCAGACAAAGGCTTCATGATTGCATTAGGGAACCTAGGGGATTATAGGGAAGATTTATTATTGGATCTTTTAGGAGGTTTGAGATAGCCGCAGTCTTCTCAAAGTGTAGTTACTTGTGCCCTTAAGAAGTGTTGGGGGAGTGTCGGACATGTCAACTACTGCCAGACCCGGCGGACACGAGCCAAGGTGGATGAGTGCTTCGGGGTTTGGGAGCCCCGTCTGAGACAAAACCTGGGTTGTGTCGACATACTCGCAAGTATTCGGTTCACTGTTGATTGGGTTTAGGTTTTAGGGTTATAGGGCGGACTCCGAAATCCTGTTGCAAAAAGGGCTATAGTGCACATGCAAAAGGCTGTAAGGTTTAGGGTTCAGGGTTGCCTGCGAGCCTTAGCACTGAGCAGACTCATACTTCGCGGTGCTCCCTGTGAAGAAATCATACTCTTTGAAGTTGTCCTGTTGATTTCAGAAAGGGAGCGCTAAGAACTTGCACATATTCCCCCACGAAGTGCCGATGATACTTCAGACTTCAAGCACGCAAAGCCCACGCATACTCTTGCTGTACTGACTCGGGTCCGTGTTGATCTTCACTTTGGAGAGAAAGAACTTTTCTAACACATGGAGCGGGTTAGTTCCACATCTACGGCTCTCAGCGTTGTAAGCACCCCAGTGCTCATCAGCTACCCAACATCTGGCCCTGCTTTGAGCCTGTCTCCTTGGAATCCAGCCTGGGACATGTAGCATGCCTTTGGTGACTGCCACAGGAGGGCCTGCATTCACGAACCTGAGAAATACCGAGAAGCCTAGTCATGCAGGTGCTTCAACATGCTTTCATTTCCGCACTGCACAAGTCCGATGACCAAAAGCATGCCCTTCGCTTGCATCAGTCAGCCCAGGAGTGGGTCGACGAGAGTTACGCTGACAATCTTGCCACGGAAATGAAGCTTTGCCTTGATCGAAGCTAGGAGAGCGCAGGGCTGTGGTGGGCTGGAACTAAGATACCCGCCACTGCCACTGCCGCCGCCGCCGCCAACATCAAGCACCACTGCTTGCATCAGTAGTGCTACTAGCATTGTGGAAGCTCTTGTTGCACCTATACCATAATATGGGCGAAGCTGAGTTTCCGCCCGCCAGTACTACCACAACTACTGCTACTACTTTTGCATTATTACAGGCACTACAACTAAAGGTGTAAGATGTTAACAACGGAATGGTAGGCAATCAGACGGCGCTGATGGCGATGAAGATGAAGTTGGTGACCCCAAGCCTGCCCATCACCGCCACCGCCACCGCCACCAGAACCCCTGGCACCACGATGAAGGTGGCCGCCCACGCTGCTGCTGCGTCACAGATGAACAAGATGAACACAATGACGATGCCGGAAACGACCACCAACAACTTCAGCCATTACATCGAGAGCCCGGACATGATGGTACAATGGAACCCGTAGATTTTGCAGGCAGTACCCCACAGAGACTTACACCTGGACTCAGGAAAGCAGCATGGGCGGACAGATTTGTTGACAGTCTCGACTGGGGGATGAAGGCGAGGCTTCAGGGATGATTCAAGTCCATAGGTCTAGATTTTGCACGAGAAGGCATATGATTCCGGTGTTTGGGATGAAGGTTCAGGTTTAAGGACATCGTCCCCCTAATTCCAACAGACGAGTTGAACTTTATCTGTGCCTTGACAAGCACAATCTGTGCTTTGTTGTTTTTTCACGGAGGTTTTGTTGTTTCTGCTTAGGTCTTCAGGGTGGAGTTGCCCGAGACGTAGGTAGGACCTGGAAGTCTTCTTTCGAGGTGCTAGCATTTGTGCCTTGAGCCGTAATTTGCACCAACCCGTATATATTCCCAGCTTCCATTTCAGTTTCCATGTTCTTTTCCATTTCATTCTCCAGCATTGAGGGTGTATAATGACGCGCGTAGAGGGTCAGAATTCTCCTTTCGGTGCAGGAAGTCTGTAGCCGATCCATGCCACATCTCTACGCGGCATTATTTTTTCAGCTTCTGTAGCAGCGGATTTCCTTCTAAGTGTGCGCGAAGTGTTTTCGTGTGCTCCAGCTTGAGGATGTGGTATGTGCAACGATCCTACTCGTGGTGCACCAATATTGTCTTTTACCGTAAACCCTAAACCCAAACCCCTGAACCCCTAAACATTTTATCATTCTCGTGGGCATGTTACAGTAGACCAAAAGCAACAGCGCAGGCTCGGGAGGGTTCTGCCGTCTCTTGATGGTTGATTTCGTTTGCTGTAGGATATGTAGTTTTCCGAAATAGGCAGACCCCAAGGTAGACCCCCAATTTTTATACTCCTTATTGTTGGGACACCCAACCCTAATTTTGGGAAAGCCTAAACCATGTTAATCCCTATATGACCCTAGATATCCCCTATAACCCACTTGAAGGGTACCCAAGCTAGGAAACCCCCTAAACCCTAAAACCCCTAAACCCATTTTGGCATAAGTCTGGTCCAATCAAATGCAGGATGAGGCCAAACAGCAGATCAAAGAGGCTCGGGCTTGAGCGATTTAGGGTTTAGGGTGTAGGGTATCTTCTATATAGGTAAAGGGATAGTATACCTAAGTAATCGAGGATAGTTGGAAAAGAAATTAGAAAATTACATGCGAACTGATGTCATACAGCCATTTCTAGGGTTTCGTGTCGTTCCATCCTCGGCTTAACCAGTAAGATAGGAAGTATAGGGTTGAAGGTTAGGGGTTTAGAGCCTAGGGCAATGCTTAGGGTATAAGATTCAGGGTTTAGGGCTGGTATGGTTGTAGTCTTTGAAGACTCGGGGAACGGCTGGCCCCAGGCCCATCGGTTGTTTCTATAGCACAATTAGTCCACACGTCCAAGCCCATGGTTTGCCTGCGGCTCCCCTTTTCAACTGTCAAAAGCATTCTGAACATGTGCGTATTTAGTACATGCCACGCACTACTACAGAAGGCTTGAATCGCTTCCATAACTCGATGTTGTGTGTTTAGTCTATATCCGATCGCCTCCGTATCGATGCAGAGGTATTTAACCGTTTTATATATAGGTAGATTGCTTCAAGTTTCTGTTCTGCATATTTGCGGGAGGCCTTGTCCAAACACTATGAGGGCAGTCTCTTTGTGCACCTCCAACATGCGTGCAACGAGATGTGCCGCGGCCCGCAGAGTGTACAGGGTGACGCTGGTGAGGGTTTCGGGGTGATAGGCAAAGAGCCAGGTTACTAGCCGAGATAGTTCCGAAGTGTTGCACAACCGTCTCAGTGTTTTTGCTTTTTTCTTCATGTTCAAGCAGTGCACTACACCAACACCGATGGAACATGCTTGAAGTAATGTACTGTCCTGTTGTCATAATCAGGGAAGTTGTACCAATGTCAGTGATTTTGGGTGTTCGGACCATTTCAACGTGCACCTCTTTTCTGATGATATGAGCATTTGGTGTTGTGAGGCAATATGTTTCTCAAAAGGTGGTTATGCAGACTTTCCACTTGGCATTGCGGGTATTGTGTCTCGATGGTTGAGAGTCAGAGCTTGAGCTCGAAGTCTATGGCCTATGGTTCGGGGAGGGGCTGCACTCTGGCTACTGCAGCCGCTGCACTACCTGACTACCTGTTTCAAGGTTCAGGGTCTCAGGGATGCATGGTGCTTCGAGTTGCAGGCCGTTGTGGGCACAGATGAACAGGGCCCGAAGCTGTCCCAAAAAGGGAACGAAGGCACTCGCCCATGAAGCAATTTGTTGATCTGGCTCGGCCGTCTTGCATATGCTTCTGCTAAGACGCAGAGTCACAAAGACGTTCGAGTAGCGGCATTGCGGACTGACGTTATCTCACTGGTGACAACAACAGACCGGTGAGCACCAACAGTGCAGCCTTGGCAGAACAACTTGCTTGCGGTCCGTGCTCGGGTTCCTCTACTACTCAGCCCGCAAATCTTCCTTGCCCAGAGTTTTTGCCAAACTATGCACCTCTGTCACCATTTGGGCCCTGAGCCCCAACCCTCAGCCACTACACCACCTCCAGGAATCCAAGCCGGTGGATAGACGTGATGATATTTGCAGGTTGAAGAACCCTCCTCTCACCCAGCTTCTTGTATAGTCCCCCTTAAGTAGATAGAATATGGCTTTGGGTATATTATAATATAGATACCCATATACCCCATATTCTATCTACTTCAGGGGGACTATAACCCCAATATCTACCCTATTATATTATTAGTAGTTTCCAGCTTGTTTTCCATTATCCCTATATAACCCCTATAATATACCCCATAGCTTCTTGTAGCTCCCTGAGGAATGGAGTGCTCAGCAAGAGAACACGGAGTTGTGTCACCTTTGAGTCGTCGGATTGGAGTGCCTGAGCTCAATGCCAGAGAGTCCACACAACCTGTAAGCTGTAATGGTTTCCGCACTCTCGATATTCGAAAGTGTGGCGAAATTTTCTGGGAATCCTTGTGCCGCATTCTCAAAAGTGAGCGCCATATTCTGGGGATCCTTATCCGCGGTCCTGCTGAACCCTATAATCCACGTTCTTGATTAATAAAGGCCCCCCCCCCCCCATAATAATAGAAAAGCCTTACTGCTACAGGGGCCACAGATGGCAGAAGGAGATTTTGATTGTAAGCAACGTCTATGGAATCCCCGATCGGGGTCCCAGGAAAATCAATATAGATTCAAGTAAAATCCATTTGATTCTTATTGAAATCAAAGCAAATGAATATACACATAATTAAAATCCATGTAAATCTGATCCGGCTCCGATTTACATCAATATACATCTAATTCCAAATCTAATCAAAATCCATTCAAATCTGATTCGGCTTCGATTAAAATCAATATAAATCCAACTGAATCCATTGAAAACTGATTGGACCCCAATTGAAAGTAGTATACATCTAATTAAAATCCATTGAAATCTGATTGGATTCCAATTAAAGTCAATACAAAACTAAGTACAATCCGTCGAAATATGATCGGGTTCCAAATAAAGTCAGTATAAATCCAATTAAGATCCGTTGAAATCTGATTGCCTTCCAATTAACATCAATATAAATCTCACTAAAGGCCATCGGAATCTGATTAAAATGGTCAGGAAATCTTTCTATTATTCTGGTGTGTTTTTCTATTAATCCATGCAGCAGCACCCGTAAGGGGTAGCTCAGGAAGCAATGTTTGGCCCTCAAATTCTTAATAAAGTTTAGTAAGCAAATCCTGTCTGCGGAGCCGTCTCTCTAGTATAGAGTTACTAGTAGTAGGTCCCTTTTAATTGCTACTTTTGAAGAACTACAGAACAGGTTTGAGGTGTAAGTTTAAGTTCTAGAACATAATGTAGTTGGTCCCATATTTTTTAAGGTTTGGAAATAATGTTCTTTAAATCTAGGGGGTTAAAGGCCCAAAAAGTGCCTCTGCCTTTAAACTAGCCTTTGAACCCCATTTTCGGCCCCGAGAATTTTCTTTAAATCTAGAGACTTTTAATAATCTAGAGCGTGGATTAAGCTGCCATAAACAGTAGACCATGCGCGGCCTTCACAGAGATGACTCCCGAATGGTTAAGCCTTGATTTCAATGTTGAGTTCCCTTGTCCTTTCCATGTTATGTTCCATTATCTTGGCCGTTTCGTTGTCCATTTCATTTTCAATTTCATTGCCCACTGTTGGGGTAACATCCTTATATACCCTCTAATCCCTGTGGGTAACTTAGCGTGCTTTCCATTTGCTTGTGTGTTCCTTTCTTTCTACCACTATGCATCCCCAGTTCTTCCTACTCCAACTTGTGAAGCCCCCAACCGATGTGTAGGCTTCTGGTGTTTTCTCTTTCGGGCATGTAGGGAAGTTTGGGCTCGCACGCCGTGAACGTGCTTGATTATTGAGTGTTTTTAGTTTCACTTGGGATGCGAGCTTGACGTGTTGTCCGAAAGTGAGAGTGAGATACGTGGTGACTGCTTGCTACCTAACCGGATCAGAAGTGCAGAAGTTGAGGAATCTAAGGGGATGCATCCTGTCACAGTTTCCCAAGCCTTGAACGCCAATTTGTTCTGTGCTGATCTGAGAAATCATCAACTACTTCCCCAACAATCAACATTTCGAAGAGCTTCGGCTGCATGCGTTTGCTCACGCCGGCTGCTGGGCTGCACTTTGTAGCGTTTGCCACAATTGCTGGGTCATCATGGTGAAAGAAGGGACTGTTTAAGGGGTCTTTTTGGCAACAAGCAAGGGGCTAAGGAATGAAAGCCTGACGTTTATGGAGACAAGTTCTCCCGTTCTTCGAAAATTCAAAATGTTTAGAGGGTGTACGACATGCCAGGACTCATCGGACACTGACATCACCATATTTCAACTTGTCACCACGGCCAGAAAGGCATTCAAGAAAATCCAACGCGAAGCCCTTGAGAGCCGCCACAGTGTCGCAAACCTCTACGGCATTCTGAGGTCAGACATGTTTCAATCAAGACTAAACGTCATGTTGGTCTGGACGTGCCGTGCGGAGCCCCCCGAAATTTGCAGCAACAAACGCGGCGGAGCCCAACGCATTCTTGACAGGATGCTAAAAATCACAGCTTGAAGCCATGAGAACCAGGATGTTTTTTGACGGAACCTGTTTGTTCAGGGATTGTGCACGCAGAACTTGCGTCAGCGTATGGGCATCATTGAATCATGCAAGTTTCCTTCCTGGTGCTCGTGCAAAAAGGACCCCACTCGGAGCTACTGCTGTTGTTAGCTTAGACTCCAGAGCATTCTAACAAGCAGCTGAGGCTGCAAACAGCACCTTGGACTAAATCTAGATGATTTAGGAGTTATGTAGTGGTTATATCGTGAGAATGGAAAAATACAAAATGTTCTTTAAGGGATTAGATTTAGGGAGTGGCTTTAGGCTTTGCGGCTGGATGCTAGTGGTGGCTCACCGAGACGGGTTACTTTTGCCGTTGCTACTTGGACGGTCTGCTGGTGGACTTTGTGATTGAATTGATAACCCCTGTAGCCCAGATAGGGGCCATGTCCGCAGCGTGAATTCAGACGACTTGGCTTGAGACCTGCAATGTCTTGTGGAGGTCTTTAAGTAGGGCGGACGAGTATCAAAGCCCCCCAAACTGCAGAAGTTTATTCGCACTTAGCCCTGCACCCCTCAAGTAGGCTTTTAATTTGAGTCCTACATGAGCTCCCCCAACCCCCAAGTTCCTTGTAGTAAGTATCCTTGGCTCCACCCAGTGGTGAAATAACACACAAAGCCAGGGAGAATCATGGCTTCACGGGCGGCATGGCCGAGGGCTTCCTTTTCAAAGACGACCCTTGCCTGCGGTCTCTTACTTCCTTGTGGTTGCTCTCATGCCGTTTTTGTGTCTGTGCCTCTCACTCACAGCCTCAAGCCCAAGATGAAAGATAAGTTGGTGACGGCCGCTTCTGGTGGTGATATCGGTTGTGCTCGTGCTGCTACTCCTGCTGCTGCTCCTGCTGCTCCTGCTGCTGCTCCTGCTGCTCCTGCTGCTGCTCCTGCTGCTGCTGCTCCTGCTGCTCCTGCTGCTCCTGCTGCTGCTGCTGCTGCTGCTAGTAGCAGTAGTAGTAGTAGTAGTAGTAGTAGCAGCAGTAGTAGTGCTGGTGCTGGTGCTGGTGCTGGTGCTGCCGGTGTTGGTGCTGGTGCTAGTGCGCGAGTGCTGCCAGTGCTGGTGCTGCAGCTGGTGGCGGCTGTGGCGGTGGTCTTGGTGGAGGCAGCGGTGATGGTCAGGTCGATGTGACGAGGAAGTTTTCCACGTTGGGTTTGCGATGCTTGGGCTCCAACAGGAACTCACTTAGGTCGTGCCATGGTAAAGTTGCTGTCATATATTGAAGTGGCGCTGATCTCAATGGATAGGGTACAGGGTTGGGATTCGATGCTGCCTATAATTTTACTACAGAAAAGCTGGTGCTTCTACAGCAGTCATGGCCCAGGGACTTATGTTGTGCGTCTGTTTGGCTTGCCAACTTCATGTCTCGTGACTGTGGCAATCCAAATTAAGGTCCTATTAGTCCTGTTGCTTGGTGTCTCTTGTTTTGCCTCTTGTGTTGGACATTAAGGAACACACCGAGCCTGTATACAAGCAGAAGCTTGGATTGTTGTTGTAATGCTGGTTTAGTGGAGGGATCTCGCCTAGTTAGCCTAGTTATGTTTGGCAGGAGTTGCAGTGATTTTTTGCATTGGGTATCTGGGCACTCACGCGCGGATAACGTGCGGGTAGTCTGCTGAGACCCTGCTAACTTGACCTTTGGTCCCACAGTCCTGACTTCTGCCAGACTTAATACCATGTTCGCTTGCTATGGAGCCTGGTTTCTTCAGGGTCATTGAAAACTGCCTGCAAGATGTAGGGTTAATTCAGGTGGATGCAGGCAAGGCTTTTCAGGCGACGAAGGAGGGAGAGATTCATCAAGAAGTCTTCAGATTGATCCGGCGCACTACATCCCGGGACACCATGACATAAGCGTACTTTGGGGATCTCAAGGAGCTGAGCAAGGTCCAAGGTACAAGGTACAAAACGTCATGAACTTTTGGTGGCAGCAAGGTTCTCCACAACCCTCATTGTGGGCCCATCCAGGGTTAGGGACTCAAGCTCGAGGAACCTCTCACCAGGGTCAGGGCTCGATCTGACCGTAGGGTGGCCCGGCAGACATCAACTGCAGATTGATGGACCGCCGCAGCCAAACTAATCTTTGCTTCGAGGCGCCAAACCAAGCATCCATATTGCTTTTGGTTTAGGGTTCAAGGGGGACTTAGTAAATAGTAAGTAGGTTACTAACCCCTATGACCCATATAGTAACCCCAGTTATGCTACTTATGATTGGTGAAATCTCCTTACTAAGTCTCCGTGAACCTAAACCCTAAGCGCTGATGATATTGTAATTCATTTTCTCTTCGATTCTCCTTATACTATAGAGCCCCAATATGTACCCTAGACTCCTTCGGCCAAGCAATGAAGCCCCAACACTTTGCTTTATGCACAGCCTTCACTCTGCAGCATGAGCTTAGGAGCGAGGAGAGGACTTGGGGAGACACTCGCCTCCTGTTTTGGGGTTAGAGAGATATATTTAGGAGTTATATAGTAGCAATGGAAAAGGAGATGGAGACTACTACAAAGAGGGTATATTGTATTCTGCAAGCATTCCCATTTCTGGTCCAGTAGGGTTTTTGCTACGAATCAGTCAGGTCCCGTGCCATGCAGCAAATCGGATTTAAAACAGCAGCTCTTCGTCTGCGATGTAGGTGAGGCTATCAATAGTTCGGTGTTTGCGCATTACCTGAATTTGAGCGGCGTGTTGCCCCGCGAATAATTCTGAAAGGTTTCATTCTGCATCCTTGTTAGGCTTTCGTAGTATGTTGTGGCAGATCGTGGCTTCCACAGGGGCTTGTCATTGCAAACGGCGGTCTGTTTGTCTTGTTTTGGGTGCCGCTTAGATTGCACCTCGATTTTCGGCCCACAGATGGGTATGATTTGATAAGTCCAGGGCAGATGACACCACGAATGGTCTTGCAATTCCAGAATTTTTGGATATGTGACAGTGACTGTAGCACACTTTGCACTACATGTCGTGATCCTTGGGTTACAGTTGTTATAGTGGCAGCGCCCGACAAGCAGCCTGAGCAAGGCTCAAGAGAGAGTGAGAGAGAGAGAGAGAGAGAGAGAGAAATTAGAGAGAGATTGAGAGTGATTACATTGGGATTTTTGGCCAGCCACCTGGCTCCCGTGAGATCATCACCGTGCAAGTCCTGCAACGAGCAATGGGGACCGCCCTGTGAGTGCCAAATACCTCCGCCTTGACCTTAAACCGTAAACCCTAAATCCTAAACCTTGTGCCATGTGAGTGGTAGTCTAAACTCCTACTAAGGGGGTTGTATTGGATCATATATCGGAGTATTATGGAGCTTATGAAGCCAGGAGTTGAGACTATGGCTCATGTGACAGGCCTGGCTTCTGAGCTGGTGGGACAAGGAGGTAATTCGAAAACCCGAAGGAACACAGCAGCTCGCCAAGACCGCCGGCCCCAAAGGGGTTCCCATATTACTTTGGGGGCAAATTCCATAATATAGCTACATGGACCCTTTGTGCTTAAATCCCCATTGAGAATCAACCCCCCCCTATGGTCACATTTAATTTTCGGGTGCGGGATGGGCCTGTTTAAGATCGCCAGTGGGAGCTACCTATTGCAGACAAGGTTTTGAGGATCTCCTGGCCATTTAGAGTTCAGATGCGGTTCAGAGGATATGAATTTCAATTCATTGGGGAAGTCAAGTGCTGTGACTGAGGTCATCTGTGGTTTCAGGCAATTGCGGGCCCTTATGTGTCCAGAGTCCCTCGGAAAAGAACTCATCACTTCTTGCTCATAGCGTCATCGTGTGTGACGGGCGGCAACTACCCTGCCTGCTATTATGATTGTTAAAGCTTCCGAGAAAAGCTTGGTAGTAACTGGTAGTACAGCTCACAAGTGCGCCTAGATTTTAGGCCCACAGTCAGGGACGCATCGAAACGATCGGTCCCTTTGCAGGTCCTCATCTGCCGCACACTTACGGGGGGATGTTTCGGCTGGATGTAGGAGGGGACTCCTGAATGTGATGTTATAGCCCTGCATGTGGAGCAAAAAAAGCTTCTGCAAGGAATGGTCGTGTTCTCAATGAAACCGAAGTTTCCCAGTGTCTCGATCACGAAGCTGTTCAGACTATGTTTCATGGTCCTTCACTGCAGACATCCAGGAAACTTCATCTACAGGGGCGCAGGGTACTGATGTTGGCGCTTGCAGTATGCGAACAGAAGTTCCATACCAACCCAGGTTTTCATGCTCATGATAAGTGCAGTTCTAAGAACAGAAAACCGCTCCAAGCTACGAGGCCCGCACTGGAACAAGCTTGAAGTGAGTACTAATGTACATTGCGCGTTGTTGCCTGGGTGCGGGGTGTTGACGCGGGCTTCGGGGGGAAGAGGCTGGATTTTCCTGCAAAGGGCGTTTCTTCCCCCAGGACCATTCAGAGTCAGAAATTGAGTCAAAGTATAATTTCCGTCAAATGCCAACCCTCAACCACCGAAAGCCTGCCTGTGCTGTCCCCTAAACCCTAAACCGTAATCCTAAGGTCAGGGAAGGCCGTGTCCTTTGCGATGAGATGTATTCGCGGCACCGGCTTGAAGCAGTTTCCCAAAGAGAAGCTAGCATCAGGATTCAGCAGCTATAGGGGCATAGGTGCAAATATTTTGTGTATATATATATATACACATATCTCTCTCTGTGTGCATGCATGCATTTGGTCGAGGTGCCTGTGCTTGAGCATTGAGCCCCCCTTCATTTCCTATAAAATCAGCCAGGGCTCGAGCTTTGGAGCCCGTCCTTGGGGCACTTGTTTTGTGCCACCAGGTTTCTTATGCTATGCTTGCAGATGTGCACACCTGCTGAGTCCGGGGCCAATTCTGCCAGGTTTTAGGGTTTACGGCTGTTCAACCCCATCATGGTGAATCAGCTGTAAAGAAGATGAAGCATGAAATGAAGAAACATGTAACTGCTTGCTGAACAAGGCCAAGCAGGGTTTACGCAAGCCATGGTGCCGTCTCTCACACAGGAGAGACGCAAGCTGATCACACGTCCTAGGGAGTTTCAAGTCATGGGTTTCGCGCGTAGGTTTTTGGCTGAAGAAATGCAAAGTCAGGTCTCCAGTTCCTTTGCAGCTTACGGAAGCTTGCGAAGGCCAAAAGTGGGCTTAGGAGTTCGTGGGGACTTGTTTCAAGGTGCAAAAATGTGCGCGTAAGATTCTGGATAGAGGTTGTGGATTCGATCTTAGGTTCGGTCTAGTGCCCACAGCGCTCATCCCAAAAACATTACGCACTTTGCAGTCAGAACTCGCGACCCGGAACTGTCGCGTCAGATGCACGGCGGTTTTGTTCATCCAGCAGGGCTCAGCTCCTTTTCTATGACTCTGGGTATGCTGGGAAGTTGTCAGCCCAGGAGAATCCCAACAACTGTTGCGGAGACGGACTTGAAGAGCGCTTTTGCAGTCTATGACCAGGCCAATCTCAGTGCTCGGGGCTTGCGGTTGAAAACTTGGGACACTTTGGCCTGGACCCTTCCCCATTGCCAGGCCATGTTAAGTAAGCCAACGCGAGATCTTCACGGAAGCTGCCCTGCTACCTGACCAAGCTTGAGGAGGGGAAAAGGTCCAAGGCAGACAGGGTCTCCCAAATAATCAGGGAGGACACACCAAGCATCATGTTGTCCTTAGTAGATAAATGTCCCCAGTGCCTCTTCTGCTCCAGAACTGCCGGAGCCTACGCAGGCGCAAAGTGCTTGCCACAACCGGAACTTCGCAGCCGGCATCGCCTTGGGAGAATCTGAGCGGGTAATGCTTCTGTTCAAAATGGATCGGATTGCAAATGCTTGAGTATCATATGTGGGTGTCAAAGTTATGGTCTTTGCAGGGTACCTTCAAATAGCGGGCATATTATTATAGAAAGGGCCTCATGTCAAATCTTACTCTGTATAGCCCTCTTATAGTGCTGACACATATAACCAGATAGCCACAATATAGCCCCACGTAAAAGGGTCCCTCCTAAAACTGCCAGAAATAGCCAAATGTCAGCTTTGATTGCTTGTTGCGCCCTGGGTCTCAGGACATACATTCATAGGCTTCTTTCGAAAATTGCGTGGTACATATATCCTCCTTCGCTGACATTATCTCACGGGAACCTTCACGACTCAACGCTCACGAGCATCACGATCGTAATCTTGCTTCATGCTGCCATGTCTATGGGCGTCTCTTGTTTGCTTGTTTTGTCAGAATTGATTTCTGACCAAAATTTGCCTGAATTCCAGCATTTCGATGATTTCGCTGCTTGTGCCGGGCATTCTAATTCTAAGCCTGAGGAGCTGGGTCTCTTATGCTTCGAGCCTGAGATTGTCCATTATGAGTACCTGCTGCTGATCCTTGGTCGGCACAGAGGTTCCGCTTTACAGGTCCGATAGAGAGCACAAAAGATAATGACCCGACAGCTTCAGGCGCTAGGGATTTAACGATCTAGCGTTACCAATACAGTTCTAGGAACGGTCGGCTTTGAATTCCAATGCTTTGGAACTAGTAAAAGTACTACTAGCAATGACTGTCGTTTCTTCGAATGAGGGCTTAAAAATGTTATCATCACCGTGGTGACTTCTGTTTTGAAGTTGCAAGGCATGACCCGCCTCAGACGTCAACATTGCAACGGTTCATCCTTTAGGGCGTAAATTTTCGCAAAACCCTCAGCTCTAAACCCTAACCCAGGTTTAGGCAGGTAGGGGTGGAGGTTGTATTTCAGCTTGAGCCTAGTTATTATGCCCCATACTAAGCCCCATAAGACCGCCAAGTGTGACAACTACAACTGCAAAAAAAATGCAGTCGGGCTTACTGCAACTCGTACCTCATCATCGTTCTCTCCTCCTAGTTGTGATGGTGGTCATCGCAGTGGTAGTCCCAATCTACCTCCCTAAGTCGTTACCCCAAACTCAGAGGCCTAAACGCCAAATTGTAGGCTTTGCCTTGTGTCATGGCTTCAGGAATACAATCCCGGCAAATGACGTTATGACAAAGTTGTCCATGGCAGCTGCGTCACTGGCCGGCATCTCTTGCAAAGAAAACTGCTTAGGATAGGGATGTAGGGTTTCGGGGCTTGGGGACAGGACTTGGGGATACTTGGGGTTTAACATCTTGTTATGCCGCGCCGCGGCTCAGGATTCATATTCAGGGTTCAGCAAGAGCGTTTGGAATTGTAATCCTTCACACGGTTTCCACCAAATATACACTGGGCTGCATTGCAACATGGGCCTTTGCTTTGGGTGCATGACAAATGGTTATAGAGCTTGTGGCCTCAACTTGATTGAGGGTGGTGAGTCTTGACTTCAGGGTATATGAGCTGCAGTTTTGAGTTCATGTGCGAGTCCGCTTGATGCTTTGTTGCGATCTCTTGGCACCAAGACACCCAAAAAAGGGACTGCTAATGGATGCTACTTGAAAAGCCCTTTCCAGAGGCCGCCCACTTCTGGAAATTCTGACGCAAGTACAGCTTCAGAAAGTCCTGCAGGGTAGATTTCCTGGAACACTTTGGCAAAGCCCTTCCTCAGCTCTTTGACATGGGTTTGGCTAAGAATATCTAGCTGATCTAGGTTTCCTCGTATCGGTACACATGGGGCGGACGTGATTAGGAATTGAGTCCTTCGCGACCCTCATATGCACATATATTTATACATGTGTGTGTATGCCGTGCTATGCTACGGCCGCTCGGGCCAGTCAGCTGCATGTGCAGTCATTTGTGAGCGACATTCATCGAAAGGAGCCACATGGCCGTTCCTGACACTCACCCGTTCTGAGGTGTGTGTTCTTGGATCTTCACACTCAGTGCTCAAATTTCGGTAGGCAGCTGCAGCTGTCCCGGCAGAATCTGATTTCAGTGATGCAGCCCCATCCATTACTTGTTGGCCTGGTTGATCCAGATGCAGAAGAGTGACAGTAGTGAGGCCAATTTTCAATCCGAATCTAAACCTGAACCCTAAAGCCCCGATTCTCTGAAACCAAGGGCCTGGTGCAGAGAGAAGTCTTGGGACACCGGATTCCCCATCGCTTTCCATGAAACCCTGAAGCTAGGTTGCTGCAAGGAATGGCTTTGTCCACACGATTTAGGGCTCAGGGTTAAGGGTTTAGGTCTAGGGCCTGTGAGGCGCAGGTGGTTGGGTTTACATCTCAGGGTTGAAGGGTTCAGTTGGGAGACAGTCTGACAACGGGTCTGCACATTGAGAACCATGAGCCAGCCAAGAAGAATGCCAGTTAAGTTGAGGCATCTACATGCAGACGCTACAGGGGCTGCAGAGAGATACTCTTGTCTATGTTACTGAGTGGTCGGGAAGAAACTAGGGAGTTGTTTTCTGATGCTGCTTTCTGAAGAGCGCCAGGAAGTGCGTAGAGTCGTAGAGGAACCAGGGCGTTTTAATGCCAGTCCGCAATTCTCAAGCTACTGTCTGGCCAGCAAAAGCAATTCTGATATCCTGTAGAGCCGTGCCAGGAGTGCTGATCCCATGCTCTTCAACAGAAAATGCAGCGTTTCGGTCACGTTCATAAAGTGGCCAGCGGCAAGCATGCCAGTTTCGTTTAGCTTCAGAATCGGAACCTTTGGAAGCCGATTCCACTCTGTAGAACAGCTGGCCTGTGCAATGTGCTAGTGCAGGGGAAGTTTCAGCAGTCGGAGATGGGTAGAGTTTCCCACTGAGATAGCAGCCTGCCCCTGCCGCCACGTGCTCACGCGTGCCCGCTCATCGAACAGTCAAGAAGCTGGAATGGACTGTTCCCTGCTCGTTGAGTAGCTACTCAGAGCCTTGCTGGGTTCCCACAGAGTCCCAGATTTGTGCTTCATATCAAAAGGCCACAGGCCTCAGTCAGGCCTTCCAACCTTCGTCCAAGAGCAGCCAAGGAATCAGGGTGATGCAAACGCGAACAAGCTCAATTCTGCGGTCCTGTGCCTTGGTCAAGCAGTAGAAGGGAGAGGCTAAAGCTGGACAGCTGCTGTGGGTTGCGCACTTCATTTCAAGAAGTGAAGCCACTTTGGTTTGGGGGCTCGCAGGGTTTTAGACACAGTAGCAACCAAAGAGAAAAGTGATATATGCAAGATAACATGGGCTCAGACGTGTCAAGTAAATGAATCTTAGTCTTGGTTTCGATGCTCAGGACATAGACTACAGGATTCAGGTGTAGGGAGCTTGGTGTGGTCTAGGATTGTGGACATGAGGCCTTCACACAAGAAGGTGAGACACGCAATCTTGTTTTCTCAATGACGAGTTTTGTGCTTAGGGGTTGTGGAATCCTCCGACTCTCATCCTGTTGCTGCGTGCAGGTCTAGAAATCTAGGCACGGTAGCTTCCTGATCTCGGAACGTCCTTCCTGTGCGTCCTTGTGCAGCTGCTCCACTTCGTGTGATACACATCACGCCATAAGTCTTGCAAGTGCCCTAAACCCTCAACCATGGGTATGTAACCAACAGAAGCTGCGCTCTGGATCTTGGACGGCCTGGTCAGATCACCATCTGATGGAGAATCAAATGTAGAAGAACAAAGTGGGCAATGAAACGGAAAACCTACGTCCTTTTAAAGGGGTAGTTATCTGGGGTACACAGGAAGATCCATATCTACATGAAGCGCCCCAAAAATAGAGCCAAGGATCATGGTCTGAAACCTCACTCCAAATCTTACAGCCTTTGAACCCCCCTGGCTGGCCTTCATTTCGCTAAGACGCCTGGAAGATGCTAAGGCAAGTTGTTGGAAAAAGCAAGCCCCACCTCCCCAAAAAAAGCTGGAGGTTAGTAGGGAGTAAGTACATATGATACCTACATAATAGCTTCCCTTATTCCCTACTAACCCCCAGTAAGTCTAGAAATAACCGATGCCTGAAGTGCAAGGAACATGGCCTGCCTCGGGCTGAAGTTGCCCCCGAGGCACGACATGCACCTCGGCCAGTTGCACACCCATGGCTTTGGGAGGAATTCTCTTTCTTTTGGTGCTTCAAGGCGTCAGTTGTTACAGCGTAGGGTTGTTGCAGAACATGACTCGCAATCTTGAGGCTGCACTACTCAGCTTTCTTTCACATGGAGTCAGACTCCTTGAGTGGAATGCCCACTCCCCAACGCCTGAGCTTAGCAAGACGTCCTGTGAAACCTTCAAGTCGCTGAAGAGCCGACTTCTGCCTGGTCTGCCTTGGAAGTGGGGCTGGCAGTCTAGGTGGGTACAGTAATGGTCCAAGACTCCAAAATAGTTCCCAAAAGTTAGCCAGTATCCTACATGCTTTAGAGGTAATCAAAAAGGCAAAGGAATGCCGGGGCCAAACATCAGGGGCGAAAACAGCCATTTCACCCAGCTTGACTTGCGGTCTTCACATAAACCCAGAGGGGGTATAGCGAGCTTGCAAGAGTCACATAGCTGATTGGCTCCGCGAAGCCAAGCTAATCTTTTGCATCGACCCGAGACGCATTGACCGCCACCCTGCTTCTACATGTCAGGGGACACTTCCTGCATACACTGGTTAAGAAAGCTTCAGAAGCTTATCCAAAAGCATCACGCTGTGAAGCAAAAAGACTCGTCTAAGAAGAAGTTGTGCCACGAACCCCCTAAAAGCAGAATTGATGAATTTGAAAACCCTCAAGCCCCAACACTTTAACGTTCCAAATGCAGATCTCTTCTCCATATATGTTTATGCCGCTATTGCCTTATTCTTGCAACTGCCCTCCTCCTTGCCAAGGAGCAAACGAAAGCACCGCAGATTCGAAGTAGTGCCTCAAATTGCGAAAAGGACAGGTTTATACCAAGACCTTCCCAGTACCCCTAGTTGGGTATAAGGCCCCTAAAAGTTTGTACTTAGGGCATTTAGGCCCTAATCCTACACCCTTAACCTTAACCCCTAGAGGGAAGGTAGGTGGAGGGTCTAGGTAGCTTGGCGCGAGGTGTTGGTGTTCAAGTCAGGGTCTCTGGGGTTAACGTCAGCGTGTTTGAAACACGACGGCCAAAGCTGAGGATCCCGATGCTTAAGGCCGTAGAGACTGTAGGGGCCGCATAGGGCATTTGTGTAACTTCACTGGGCATATCATCTTGCAGCGCTTCTTGCTCTTGGAGCTTAGGAAGGACTACAGGGAAATCCTTCCAGGCTTTGAAAAGACTCAGGCTGTTTTCAGCGACGGATGCCTCACGGTCTTCCTTCAACCCGAATTTGCAGTCCCGTTCTATCATCGTGCAACACCTAGAATGAGATTTTGTTTCAGGTCCATTGGGCTATGAAGCTATGATGTTCCAGCATCTTTCTAATGCATGAGCACCGCGGTGATGAGAGAAGAACGTTCACTAGGGGACAGCATGACTCTTTACCATTTTTATGAACCCCGAAAGATCAAAAGTGCTCGAATTCTTTAGGGGCAAGGAGCCATGTTTCAGTTCATGTTGGAGTTTTAGGAAGATTTGGTGGGCACTTGGCAACGTTACCAGTTCCCTGAGGGACCCCAGCAAAACAGCCTCGGCTTTGGCTGTCTGTGTGTAAGTGCTTGAAGGGCTTGCAGATTGCAAAATACACGTGAATTCTGGCCCCCCAGGAGGTTGGGCCTTGGGTCAAGGGGACATAGTGAGTGGGGTTAATAATCATCACTATAAAACATGGGTAACTCTAGTTACTAGTTATCCCCCTTGTAAACCTGCTTACTAAGTCCCCCTGCAAAGCACGTGCCTTGCTCGCTAGCTTTTGCCAAGACCACGTCGACTACGACGACAACGAAGTCCACTACGAGAACTACCACCACCACTACCACAACCACCACCACAACTACCACCACAACTACCACCACAACCACACCAACCACAACCACACCAACCACAACCACAACAACGACAACAACAACCACCACCACAACCACGACAACGACAACAACAACTACGACGACCACAACCACGACAACCACTAGGCAGCTCGCATGCATTATCACCGTTCAGTGAGGGATTGTCGGGGAAAGGAGACGCCTCTGTCGGTTGATGGGCTTAGATGGAATGCTGCGCGGCTGATGGGGTTGGATGCGTTAATGTTCTGTCTTGAGCTGCGGTGGGCAGAGGGCTTTTAATTCTCAGCCAAGAATCAGATCCGAGCATGCCTTGCATCTCCGATTTCATTGCAGGGTAGCGTTTGCAATGCGGCCGCGTCGCAAAATGGCGGCCATCCTTTCTCCCCCAGATAGGAAGCATTGGGGCTACAATGACTCCACACCGAGCTGTCGGTGCTGAACGCGAGTTTTTGCTGCCTCAATCTCTAGCGGCTGTGCTTGTCAACGACTTATAGGCAAAACTCCAAACCGGCCACCGCCCACCTGCTTGAGCCCTGGAGATGTCAAAGGTAGCTAGGGACCTGGCGGAAGCATAGACACTGCATCCTACGCAGCTCTCTTAGAAGCCTTATGCCCAATGCCCGTCAACGTGCGTGAGAAACGTAAGCCCTCCCGCCACAACCTTGGGAATTCTCATTTTTGCGGGCAGGGAATACTACCCGTCAAGGCGCACCTACCTTCTGATTTGAGGGGTCAACCGGCATTGCTGAGGCGTCCTAAGTGAGATTGTAGCCTTGGAAATGCTTCCAGAAGATAAATACTTCATGATGTTTGGTCGAATTTTAGCAAATAGGCATCCACAGTAGCATAGCAGTAAATGTTAAACCTTTGTCATCATGACTTTTGCCATGCAAGGTATTTATATTTCTGGGAGCGGTCATGGAAGAAGCGTCATGCATGCACCAAAGAATGTCTTGGGTTTTTGTTTCTCGGGTTCCCAGCGGGTCCAAAACCCCTTTATGTAGGAATGTACCCTAGATGTTACCAGGATCCCAGTACGATCTAAGCTATATCCTTGACTCGTGGGTATTAAGCTCTGAATTCTGGCTTCGGTGTTGCATGGTCTCACATTGAAGGTTTCAGGGTTTAGGGTCTATGGTTCAGGGCTTAGGATTTACGATCTGGCCTTGCTGTTGAAATGTTCGCCGCCCAAACGGGCACTGAAAAATGACATCATCGTGTAGATCTGGGTCCTATCTCATCGGGGCTTCTGACTGGGGCCATCATTGCTGAGGACTTGTCATACGACATATGTTAGTGTACTCCTATGGTACATTACCCTGAGAGGCTTAGCTTTGACCGGTTCAGGTTGAACAATGGTGCCCAAGCGGAACTAGCAGGGTGTTGCTGCGAGGTGAAGGTAGCCTGTCGGTATTTGTCGGTGATGTGCATCACGTATGAGAATTTGCCGTGCAAGAAAAGATAGAAACCCCAAACTCCAAGAATTCCAGGCCCCTGGTCAACATATTCTGAAGCCCTGACAGAATCATCAATATTGTTCAGCACTTGCCAGAAAGCAATCCGTAGTCCCGCCAGTGGACCTGGCTGGCACATTCTTTCAGAATTTTGTCGTATCATAGTCCAGGTCATCACACTTGAACCTGAAACGCCCAAAGCATTACGTATGCCTGGCAAAGGTGAAGCTTACAAGAAAGAGTGCAGACATAAGTGGATATGACTTCCGCACGCACGGCTGTGTAGGCCTAGCTAGCGTAGTGCCACTGCACCTTCTTCGAACATTAAACTAGACTCGACAAGGATCTTTACACAAGAGCTTAAAGCCCGACACTTGGAAGAGCCAAGGCATTACAAGCCGAGGAAGTCTACGAGGAGCAAGTCCGTCGCACGGCCCCAAAGCCATGTTAGCTTTCGGTGCTTACAACACAAATAGAAATTGGAAAGCTGAAGTCTTATTGCACGCAAAACACCGCTGCACGTCTCACGGGGCAAGGGATAGGATAAGAGGAAGGGTAAAGCTGGAGGGATGGCTACGGGCAGTGTCAAGATAAAGATGTCAAGGAAAACATGTTGAGTGGAAATGGGCGGGTGGGCGAGTGGCGAGATCCGAGTCTAAGTCAAGAGCATCGGGTATTTGCAAGTGGCAGGGGCAAGGGCTGAGACCAAGAAGAAAGGTCACAGGGTGGGCCATGCCACAAGCAGTTAGGAGTCAGGGTAGGTGGATCAGGGGTGAGGCACGAAGATCAAGCCGAATCAAGCCATGAAGCCATCGGACCCCAACCCTGTGCAGCATCCAGGAAGTGAGCACCATATTGTTTCTAGAGCTACTAGTAGCTTCCATTTTGATTCCCGCTATCCGTATATCTTACTCGCTTAACCACTATAGGGGCAGGTGGCCAACCACAGGAGAGGATTATGGGAGATCGACATGTTTACGTGATCGCACCCATTAAATTATGGATTATTCTAGGGCCAAAGTATACATGATATGGCTACAGACCGCAGGTTTCCCGTGTAACTACTTAAAGCCAAAGTCTGTACTATACAGCTACATGGACCCTTTGGAAAAGAGTGTCCTTCTTCGGTGTGGTCATGAAGCACATGACTGGAAGCCCTAAACTCGACACCCGAGACTGCAACCTGAAGTCCAGTCATGGTCCCTTAAGTACAAAATATATCCCCGCTAATGTCAAAAGAATGTGAAGCATATGGGGATCTCATTATGGTTTTGTGACATTCCATATTCTATCGTTTTTTCCTCTGCAATCTACTGAAGGTTACTAGGAGCCCTTAGAATTACCGCCCAACCTTCGCGTGCCAGCCCTCGAAGCTTATGCCACAAGCCCCTACACAAAACCCTGATCCCTGTATAGTAGTTTCGATTTTCTTTTCCATTCTCTCTATATAATCCTAGATAACCCTGTAATACCCAACATTACCCTGACTTTTTTTCTTTTCCTCAACTGCGTCAAGGTGTGGCGGCCAAACGGAAACACAAAAGTCTTGCAACTCGATGGCCAACGGAAGAGACAGACGGTTTGAAGTGGAGTCGGAAGGGAGAGGTGCATGAGGACTAAGCAGCATGAAAGAGTCCTAGAGGGGTAGTAAGTGCAAGGACCATCAAGGATTTGGAAGTTGGGAACTGCCGTCTTCGGCAGAGAAAAACCTCCTTTTTGCAGACATGAATTTTACGTGGAGGATGCCTTTGCCTACCAGGATCCGCAGGTGGGAGCCCTCGAGGCTCTTTTGGGGCTTAGCGTTAGTTCTCATAGGGGACGTCTACTACAAAAAACAAGCTGTGATTGCAAAGCTCTTGCAGACCAAACTGAGTTGAAGCCCCATTAAGTACCAGAGGACATCATTTCGGCGCATCATATCATACTAGCTACAGGACGTGCTCATTCAACATTAGCCCTTGTCTTTCTCTAGTGCACCTAGACACTACATGGCAATGCCCCTTCCAAGCAAGATCTCCCTTGTCCCTCTGGACGATCCGGAATTCAAGGCTCCTTAAAGCCAACAGGTGTCCCAAGGCAACTACATAGAGCAATACAGGGATTATATAAAGATTGTATATCTATTATCAAGGGATAGGCATTATATTCCCCTATTCCCTACTGACCACCGTGGGAAGGATAACTCTACGTTAGCCCTCGCAGTCCCCTGGTCAGTGCATGAAGCCGGGGCTCTTCTCACTCCCTCTGACCGAAGGGTCCATGTAGCTATATAGTATACACTTTCGCCCAGAAGCACTTAGCTTATACCCTTTGGGGACCGAGCATGTACCATATAGCTATACAAAACCTTTGGGTTTGGGCTCATTAGTTGGCTCATGCTGCCCTGCTCTCATTCTGAAACTGCATGCCGGCGTTGGCCTCTCAGAAAAGCTTAAGCTAAAGCGAGTGGAATCTATAGGATCACAGAAAATGTTGTGATTGCTGGAGTGCTTCTTCAGAGTTCCAAGTTGCATCAGCTGCGCCTGCAATAGGATGACTGTAGAAGTTACAAGAATTACCAAGATTATGGTCCCAGGTTCCTTGTAGATTGTAGTATGCTGTACCTTAACTAGCCTTCAGGATGATATTTGTCATTATTCAGGCCTTATATACCCAAACGTGTTTCGGTCACATATTTCGTGGAGGCTTCTGTGCTGGGGGTGGGTTCGAAAAGCCCCACAAACCCGGGGGCGCTGTCAAAATTTAGGGGTTAGGGTTGATGGATTAGGGTTCAGGGTTGTTACAGTGCTTTGGGATTCAGGGTTTGGGGTTAAAAGGCCTTGAGTTCAAGCCTGATCCTGCAAGCTCTCCAGGTACGGGAAAGGTGGCCGTCTCAGACATGGAGACCCGTGAGGTTCACCATGACATTGGCATCTTCACTGTGAGCTAAAGAAAGTCTAGCGGCAGGAATAGCAGGGACCCTTTGAAGCCATCCCTGGATCGTAAAGTTTCCATTGCGCTGCTTGTAAGCTTGTTTGTCACGAGCTCTTAACGAGTCACAGTGAGTGAGGGTTACAAAAAAGCATGTCTCGATCAGTTGAATGGTTGAACCTGCTTTGCGCAACCAAGGTACCCTCAACCCAACGCCTTCTGCCTCATACCCTTGCAGCGCCAGAAATTTTCGTGTAAGATAAGACATGCGCATGCCTTGAACTGTGCAAGCCCAAATCATGCAGAAGTGCCCAGCCACGCTGGCCAGAAACAAGCCCCCTTCAGCGATAAAGCTAAGCAGGAGGCAAAGCTTCTGGAATCCAGAAAATTCTACATACCCCCAGATTCGGTTTCATTGTCCATCTGATTCCCCATGTTTTGCATAATACCTGCCCCTAGAAGTAAACCCATCATGACCCCATATCAATGTAAAAACACTTCCCAGCCTTGCACAGGTCAGTATCCAGCTCCGCTGCCCAGCTCCTGCTCAATCAAGATGAAGAGATGTTGCGGGCAAAAGTTTGGTTGGCATGCTCTATGGTGGATTGTGTGCACAGTGACTGGAAGAGCTGCACGCACATGTAGTCTAATTTCGTGTCCGCACAAGAGATCTTCTCATCCCACCGTGAGCAAGAGCTTTCTCTGAAGGTTCCATGCACACCTTGGACCACAATTTCCGCAGCCGTTATCAGCATTTGCTCT